AAAGAAAGAAGAAAAGACAAGACAAGACAAGACACAATGAAATGATACTATATACTTATCAGAATGGCTTCATTAAAAATAGCCACAACACCAAATACTGGCGAGGATGTAGAAAAACTGAATCACTCATGTATTTACATCATTGTAAATATAAAATGGCACAGCCATTCTGGAAAACAATTTAGCAGTTTCTCAATAAATTGAGCATGTAAACATCATAAGATCCACCAATTGCACTGTTGTGAATTTATCCCATAAAAACAAAAGCTTACAGTCACACAAAAACCTATGCATGGATGTTCATGGCAGTTTTCAAAGCCAAAAACTAGACACAACCTAGCTGTCCTTCAATAGGTGAAATGGTTAAACATACCGTGGAATACTAATCAGAGAGAAAAAGGAAAACTGGAATGAACCTCCAGAGAATGCTGAGTGAAAAAAGCCAACCCCCCAAAGTCATATACTATATGATTCCATATAGCATAGTCTTGGACTGACAAAATTATAAAAATGGGGAGGCGCCTGTGGCTCAGAGGAGTAGGGCGCTGGCCCCATATGCCAGAGGTGGCAGGTTCAAACCCAGCCCCAGCCAAAAACTTCAAAAAAAAAAATTATAAAAATAGTGACCATATTTGTAGTGGTCAGGAATTAAAGAGGGAGGTGCAGGTGTGGCTATAAGAGGGTGACATGAAGGATTCTCGTGGTGACAGAAATATCTTTGTATCATGAATCAGTGTCAACATCCTCATTGTGAACTTATTCTGTAGTTTTATAAGATGTCACCAAGGGGCAAAACTAGGTAATAGATATGTGGGATTTCTTGGTATTATTTCTTAAAAGGCATGTGGATCTATAATTATCTCCAAATAACAAGTTTAATTTTAAAATGTACTTTAAAATATGTATATAGGGGCACACATTTTTCTGTTGCCTCAGACTTTAAAATAGCTCTGAACTTGACAGGCATTCCATCTTAATTAAGCTCTTCTCCTTGGCTTGCCTAACACAGAATTGGAGCACACAGTCAGACTGTAGGGTAGATTATTTGAAGACAAACCTCTCCTGGAAAATCTGGACTCTGATACCTGTAGCCTTCCAACCACTCTTTTCCTACCCCTAATCATTCCATTTTCAGGATGTGGCCCCTATATAGCTGATTTAAAGGCCCATGATTCACTGTCTCTGAGCAGAGCATCTCTATTATGTTCCTAGGATTATTTACGTCACAGTCACTCAGGATGTTTGTTTCAATGCATAGCCCTGGGCCTGAAGGATTAGAATTTTAACTAGCCCCCTAAGGAATTCTATTAATAATGAGCACTTAAATTTGAGAACTAATAAGAGCTCAACTTTGTCTGTAGGCAGGATTTTCCGGACAGGCATAAGGATTTCCCACAGTGGGATATTCTCTAAAAGGACTTTCTCAAAGGGAAACAACTGAGTGGAGACCCTGTGCCAGCCCTAGCTAGGGCCTGCTCCAATGAGGACACAGATCCCCCCCTTGTGCCATTAGCTCACCGCAGCGTTTGGCTCAATGAGGCGGTGCTGCAGCTTTTGGGCATCTTCCCATTGCCCTGTGAGGCAGAGTCGCTCCAGCTGGCACACCTGAGCCCCAAGGACATTGGCCAGGGCACACACGCCCCCCACAGCTCCTGTCTCAGAATAAGATGCAAAATATCAGCCAGAGTGTCTTCCCACAGAGAATCCTAAACCCTGGTCCCAAGCTCCTCTTCATTCTGGGGATATAAGATATGGATTTCTGTGCCACTGGTTAGCCATGTCAAAGATATGCTCTGTGAGCCAGAATATACATTTCCAGAGTGAAAAGCTGCCCAGATATTCAAAATAGAGTTCCACCCACAGAGAGCTGCTCATACCTGGTCTGTGATGGGCAGGGATCAGAGCCTAAAGGAGAACTCAAGGACAGTTCTTTTCTGCACCCCTCACAGAGGAAAGCCCACCTGCCACACGGCACCTCCAGCATCCTCTGATAGCCCTTCACTTAGTCCTGGAAGAGGGTGGGTGATGGGAAGCCTTTGCTCTTTTGAAATCATATCCCCCTGCCCCTCTCAGTGAATTCAGCTGAGACAACAGTGGAGGTGGGGAAGGGAAAGATCTCTGGACATAGGGGAGTGAGCATTTCCTACATGAACTTGGACAAGTCACAGACCTGCTCCAGCCCTCTTTGTGCTCATGTGAGCAATGAAAATGGGTTGGCTATGATCTCAGAAAGCCCTACCACTTCTGCAAGCCTTTGAGTATGACTCTAAGGCTAGTTAGGAGTGGCCGTAAGCACAGTGGCCTCAAGACTGGAGAGAGTAAGGAATGTGGAATGAGCTAAGAGCCGCCACTTACAGAATACTGTACCTGCTGTCCAGGCACTACAGCAGACATAGGGCTAATGGTCTCTAATCCTCACAATACCTCTGTGCTTTATGGAGTAGAACCTCAGGCCCAGAGTCACTCAGGGAATAAATGGCAGAGCTGAGAATCTGGCTCAGATACCCAGCCCCCCAGAGCCTGTGCTCCTTCCATCTATCCCACACTCAGCACCAAAGCAGAAATGGATCCCCTCTTCTTCTCTTGTACTGTGACACAGCAGGAGATGTGCAAGGACCTAGACCACAAGCCGAAATCTATAGACCAGAGGGAATAGGAATCAGCATTGTCTCCTACAGTACAGGGACAGGCACTTAAATCTACTCACTGGGGCTTCAGCCGGAGGGAGCTGATGCTTCCCTCCCTTTCTCTTCCCTCTAGGGCTCAAATCTAGTCTGAACCCAAAGATCTTTTTTTTCTTTTTTTTAGACAGAGTCTCACTTTGTCGCCTTAAGTAGAATGCTGTGGCGTCACAACTCACAGCAACCTCAAACTCTTGAGCTTAAGCGATTCTCTTGCCTCAGCCTCCCAAGTAGCTGGGACTACAGGCACCCACCACAATGCCTGGCTATTTTTTTGTTGTAGTTGTCATTGTTGTTTAGCAGGCCCAGGCCAGGTTCAAACCCACTAGCCCTGGTGTATGTGGCAGGTACCCTAACCACTGAGCTACGGGAGCCAAGCTGAACCCAAGGATCTTGACCCCAAACAAATGTGAGCAGTTAGTCTAAGGAGCACTTCTAGGATCCTGGCCAAGGGATCTGGCCAGGCAGAATCTTATCAGGCAGCTAAGGATCTATGGCCCAACACTAGAGGTCTCATAGTTCATTCTGGCCAGCGATTGGGGGATAGGAAAATGGACTCCTGAACTAGAGGGGAAGCCCCCAAGGCTGCTGTCCCCAGAGAATGATTTGCAAGGTAAGCTTGGAGGTACTAAATTTGTTATCTAAGCATGGATCTCAGGACTTAGAACAAAATGCAGGCGTCCCTCCTACAGGGCAGGGGTTGTACATGGCTACCCTCTTTTCCCTTACAAGGTCACTCATGAGTACCCAATATTCAGACAAGCAGTGTGGTCAGGTTCTGAAGTCTCAGAGCAGGCATGCTGGCAAACCACCTTCCGCAGAAGCAGCCCTAGCCCTCACAGTCTCCCCCAGAAGATCCAGTTGCCTGGGTCCCTCTAGGTTACCATGACAGAGAGTAGTAGGAGGCCTACCCACAGCATAGCTGGCCAGCAGGAAACCCGCCGAGCCAGCCAACACCTGGAAATCCTGCCTTCTGGTCTTGTGAACAATCAGCCCAATCCTGGTCACCTGCAACAGCAAATGTGGTGTAAGAGCCAGGCCCAGAGCCTTGGCTGTACAGCCCGGGCAAGTTCCCAAAAGATGCCCTAAAAGTTCAGACAAAGCTCCAGAAAGCCCACATGACAGAGAGGATCCAAACAGGAGCCCAGGACTGAACTGGATCTCAGAGCTATCCTGAAGTTGGTAGCAAAAGTTCTAGGGCCCAGAGAAGGAGGAGGGTGCTCCAGCCCAGAAGTTGTGGTCACTCACATCACCACCACTGTCCTTCATGCCCACGATGTTCGGGTGCTGGGAAAGTGTGACCACTGCATCCACAGGCAGGTCCAGCCCCGTGTTGGCTGGGACACTGTACAGCACCACAGGGATTGGAGAGAGGTCAGCAACCTGAGGGGTACAGAGAAGAGGGGGAACAGGCAGCCTCCCCAGGTCCTAGGGTCTGGAAGCATACCCCGAATCCTGGCCTACGTCTCTGCAGGGCTATCTAGACAGGGCTACATTCTTAGCCATAAGTCACTGGTGCTACATGCCCTGACGGTAAGCAGAAATAACATTTATAGAGTGCTTTCTATACGCCAGGCACAGTCCTAAGCCCTTTATGTTCCTGATCTCATTTAATGCTCACAACAGCCCCAGGAAGTGTATGTCATTGCTCCTTCCATTTTATAGGAAAGAAACAGTGACATAGAGTGGTTAGGTAAGCTGCCCAGAGTCACATGATGGCATTCCTATAGCTACTTCCATTCCTGTAAAGTAGGCTCACTCCCTACCCCTCACTGCTCTTGTCTCCTCCCCTGGAGAAGAGACTCCTCTTGGTCCCAGGCTCGCACCCACCTTGGTGTAGTGGTGAATGAGGGCTGCACTGCTCATGCGGCCGCGATAGTAGCATGGGGTCACCACCATGGCTGCATCAGCCCCGACCTGGGCCATGCTGACAGTCATCTCTACTGTGGCTTGAGTGGCTAGAGGAGGAAGGAGAGAGGTGAGAGCAGGTGGAAGGAGGCCTGGACCAGGGCTTTGGGACAAGCAAGGGTACCTCAGAGTGACCTGGAAAAGGAGAACAAGGAGACAGAACCCGAGCCCAGGGCCAAGGATCCTGGACATTGGGCACACAGCCACCCTCAGGGCCCAGGCATTTTCGCCTCACATTCGCAGCCGGAGCCAGCTAGCAGGAGCTTGTCCTTGGGCATGGCCTGGCGTGCTCGGCTCACCACCTGTAGGCGTTCACTGCTGGTCAGGAAGGGGAATTCGCCAGTTGAGCCCTGGACCACAAAGCCTGCAAGAGAGACTCCATCACAACTGACCCAGGACAAGGGTGTTCCTACCTCCCCAGGACCATAGCTTTCTTCCCATCCTTGTCCAGAGGCAGGCAGAATGTTTTCATTTAGCATCAATGACAGTGTTCACATCATTTTTTTTTTTTTT